AGGCTCTGTGATGACAGCTGTGTTCACCACGCAGATATTAGCATCTACAGGGTGTCATCTCCATAAGGACAGAGCCCTGGGATCTTGTCTGTCCCTGTAGCCCCAGTCCCCAGAAGAAGTCCTGGTTCCCCATAGGTGGTGAATAAATATTGATTGAATGAGTGAATAAACAAACAGCCATCATCTCAGACCTGCTGGAGAAATGTCCACGGCAGGGTAGGCGCGGGGTTTTGGATTCAGTTCCTATCAGCTGACGCTTATGGAGAACCTTCTGTGTGCCAGGCATTGTTCCAGCCTCCGTGGCGACAGAACAACCCTTTCCTTCGAAGATCTTCGCTCGAGATGATGGGGGAGCTTGCGATCTAGGAGTCTAGAAGAGAAGGAAGTGAAAAGAATAAGGGGAGAGCAAGGGGTTAAGTGCAAAGAGTAAGAGTTTCAGGGTCAGGAAGGAGTTCAGCAAGTGTATTGACTGACTTTTTTTTTTAGTGCAAAAAATAGCTAGTTCTGCTTTTCGGACTGAGGCTGGCTGAGTCAGGGGTTCAAAGAAAAGAGCATGAGGATGGGAGTGGCAGTTGTCATCTGCAGCAGATGGTAATGCCCCAGAGACAGATTTGTGGACTTGAAGATGCTTCCCTCCACCCCCTCTGGCCCAGGAATCAAGGTCAGGGGCAGACAACCAAGCTCAGTTCCCTGGGGTCCCCATCCCAGCCTCTCAACCAGGCCAGCCCTTCCCGAGAACATCACCCTTGCTCCACCCTTGGACTCTACATCAGGCTCAGCAGAGTCTCAGAGGCCAAGGGTGTGAGAAGAATCATCCCAGCGTCTGTTATGAACCATTATTTCCATTCCTTTGGCTGTGCTTTCCCCTGAGCCCCGAAGACACTAGGTCAGTGCTGCTTTCAGCCCAAACGTCTGACATGCCAGGCCTTTGTTCAGCCTCACAAAAGAAGGGGATGATTATTAAAAGAACAGACTTTGCATTCCATATTTACCCCAGATGACATTGCCTTGATCCCTAAAATAACTCCAGATCGCCCGGGTGGAACTTGCTCGTCCTTTTTCATCTTGCTATTTTGCAACTGTTTATGGAGACCATCACCATAGTGATATTATCAGAGAGGGTCAAACGAAACTCCAAACCCTTGGGCTGTTTTGGTTTTCCTTTGTACCTTGGAACATGACTTTTTCCCCCTAGAGCAGCTCTTTCATTTCTTTTAAGCACTTTTCTTGGCTCCAGGTCAGCAGCAGCGCTTTCTAACTGATTCCCATCAGTTAAAACCACAGAGGTGGTCCACGCTGAGATGAGGGATGGAAGTACTTGGGCTGAGTTTCCAAACTGGAAACCATATTTACCAGAAATCTCCTTTCTGTCAGATAAAACTTGGGTCAAAGTTTCAGAGTGTTGAAAGAGGCACTAAATAAACTAAAAGTCTAAAGAACCTTCAGTGTTTGGTCCAAGGAACACGGCTATAGAGTTCAACAAATAAACACAGCTGGCGTGGGGAGAGCCTTTAGCAAATACTTATCTTCTTGATTATTTTTTTCATAACCATCATCTTGGCCAACAGCCTTTATTGTAGCATTCTCATACACTGCTGGTGGGAGTGTGAATTTGTAGGACTTTTCTAATAGAAAACTTGGCAATGGTTAGGAGAAGCCTGGATAGTGTGCTTTTTCTGTGAAGCAAACTTCTACTTGTGGGTTCTAAGAAAATAATTAGGGATGTGAGCAGAGGAATACATATGAAGACGTTTGTTGCTAACAATGGTGGAAGAATGGAAATAACCAAAGTGTACAATACAAAGGGATTGCTTTAAAAAAATCACCATCTATCCATACGATGGATGCTAAACTAGAATTACAAATTGTGCCACAGGAGAATCTTTATTACGTGTAAAAGATTCATGATATGTTCTCAGATAGGAAAAAAATGATCCCATTTTGGTAAAACATGTATGTATATGGAAAGGAAAAAGATTAGAAGGATAGGTTCTAAAAAGATGGCAGTGATTATTCCTTGGATAATTTTCTGGTTTTGGTGTTGTATCTATAATTTTTACAATGAGCATGTATTTCCGTCGTCAGATGTTTAAAAAGCTATTTTAAAGAAGAATAAGCCACGGTGCCTTTAAAAGCACCTCTGGGGACTTCCCTGGTGCTCCGGTGGTTAAGACTCCGTACTCCCAATGCAGGGGGCCTGGGTTCCATCCCTGGTCGGGGACCTAGATCCTGCACGTGGCAATGAAGATCCCCCGCGTGCCGCAACGAAGACCCGGCACAGCCAAATAAATAAATAAATAAATATTTACATATTTAAAATCACCTCTGATGGATTTTGTGGGCAGAAACAGACTCCTATTCCAGGAGCCTCCCTACATAAAGCTCGTAAGATAGAAAGTGCTCAGTGATCTCTTATTGTGGTTGAAGATAACGAATGAATTGTATGGTACCTGGGACCGATAAATATTTAGCAACCATGGGTTTTCTGCCTATTTAGAGTTTAAGGTCAAAAATATACAAGGCTGACATAACCAGGCATAAAACACACACACAATGTAGTAAGACCGGCAAATGCATTTACAAAATACCAAGAATCGTCTGGTGCTCCGTAATAGCAGTGAGGATTGTTGGGGGCAGGGGAGGGGACCATCCATAAAATCAAAGAGCACACGATATGCCACCAATTTATTGCCTGTCTTATTTAAACCTCATGACAATTGTACGTGGTAGGTATCATACACCCATTTTACAGATGTGGAAACTAGAATATGGAGGTTCAGTCCCCTGCTCTCTCACCATTGCAGAGAGATAGAAGATGCAATTATTCAGCTAGAAGAGATGGGGAGCCCAGCTTATGACTGGAATGGTTGGGACAGGAAGGAAGGAGGAAAAGGAGAAGGAAGACCTATATACCTCTGTGGCATGGTCCCCAAAGTCTTTTACCGGACTGGTAAACATTTAGGTTGCAGGCTGGAGAAAATAATAATTTTAGCTACCCTCCTTTAAGTACCTGGGCACGATGTCAATATAAAAATGAGGATTACAGGATGTCATTGCATCCAACCTCACTGGCCTGTGGGAAGTGGTAGACGTGCTGCAGGAATATGTAGCACAAATATGCCAGGGAGCAAATTACACAGAATCCTAGAGTCTGTCATCATTATGACCATCACTCAAAACATCTAAACACCTCTTTGTTTGGGGTAATGTGAAGAAGTGAAAAAAGGACAGGCTTTTTGCATCAGACAGAACTCCATTCAAATCCCGGCTCACCTTTCTGTAGTGATGTGACCTTTGTCCATCTTCACTGGCTCTACCTTGAGGTACCTGTGGAACCTTAACACATTTATGGAAATCCTGCTTAAACATTATCATCCCAATCATTTCCTGCTATGTTGGAAGCTATCATGGGTAGCTTTTTAGACTTGTACGAGTCAGGGGGAGTGCTAGCTGCTGAAACACCTTCAGTGCTTAGCGGCTTACAGCAAAGGTTTATTTTCCCCCTAAGACACAGTCTGACTGGATGTTTTCAGTAGACTCTCCTGAATGGAATACAGGCTTCCTCCATCTTGGAGCCTCTGCATTCGGCTGGCTGATGAACAAAGAGAGAGGGAGAGTACGGCGTAGGTCCCAAGGGGCATTTGATGGTCATACCTGGAGGTGGCCCATTTCACTTCCTCCCACATTCCATTCGTCAAAGCCCCGTCACATGACCACAACCTAACTCAGGGGAGGCTAGGAAATGTAGACAGTGCTTGTGCCCAGGAAGAGGAAATGGAAAAGGTGACCCTGTAGCGTGGCAGTGCTACATACCTGTAGCCATCACGAGTAGTGTGGGGCAGAGAACAAAAGGTCATCAAGATAAAGCCTAACAGAAATGCCATGCCAGTTGTCCAGGCAATGGTGCCTGACAGAGAGATATCTTTGGTGATCAGAGTTTTCTCATATAGGTTTTAAACTGGGCCAGATCTTACAGGATCTTAGACCAAGTATGTCTGATCCTATCTGGCAGTTTTAAGCTATAAAGAAGGTAGCACAATGAATATTAGAAATGGGTCCCATCACCACTGGCATTGCTGAATCACCCTGTCCCACCATGCCCTGCACTTTTCCCCTTTGCATTTGGCTCTCAGTGTGCTTACCTTTAGACTTGGTGGTTCATTTTCTCCACTTAGTCACTTTACCTACCAGACTGAACACTTGCCACACTTCTCCACCTTTGGCCTTTGCTTTCCTTTCTGGCCAAAATATGGAGCCTTTCTGACTACAGGGGCATTGATTGCCTTAGATAAATAGGTCACCATGTCTAGCCTGGTCTGAGGCATTAACAACCTCAACAAGGTCCTCGTATGCTCTGCACTCCAATGGTTCACTTGAACAAAAAATAAAGCTGAATGAAAATAAAAACAAAAATAAACAAATGGCTATTTCTCCAAAGAAGACACACAGATGGCCAAAAAGCACATGAAAACATGCTCAACATCACCAATTAGAGAAACGTCAATCAAAACTACAATGAGGTATCACCTCACACAGGTCAGAATGGCCATGATTAAAAAACCTACAAACAGTAAATGCTGGAGAGGGTGTGGAGAAAAGGGAACCCTCCTACACTGTTGGTGGGAATGTAAATTGGTACAGCCAGTATGGAGAACAGTATGGAGGTTCCTTAAAAAACTAAAAATAGAGCTACCATATAACCCAGCAATCCCACTACTGGGCATATACCCAGAGAAAACCATAATTCAAAAAGACACATGCACCCCAATGTTCACTGCAGTACTATTTACAATAGCCAGGACATGGAAGCAACCTAAATGCCCATTGACAGACGAATGGATAAAGAAGATGTGGTACATATATACAATGGAATATTACTCAGCCAGCAAAAGAACGAAATTGGGTCATTTGTAGAGACGTGGATGGATCTAGAGACTGTCATACAGAGTGAAGTAAGTCAGAGAAAAACAAGTATCGTATATTAACACACATATGTGGAACCTAGAAAAATGGTACAGATGAACCGGTTTGCAGGGCAGAAATAGAGACACAGATGCAGAGAACAATGGGCTTCATTCATAGGGCACCATATTCCAGCTCTGTTCTAATTGCTTGTGATATGACTCATGGTCCCTGCCTCAAGGAGCCCAGAGAGCAGTAGGGGCAAATTACAAGTGAAAAGGTGTACCTAGTACAGCATTTCCACGGGAACACAAAGAAAGAAGCCCCAAACTCAGCTTTTGAGGGGACAGGCAGAAAATACTGCATGAAGGAGGAGGTGACCATTCTTCTGAGTCTGAAGGGTTAGCTTTAGATGCATTGTAGAGGTCATCCCAAGCCTAGCGGGCAGCTGGCCGGCCAGCTTAATAAATTAAATATGAATTCTCCCAAATATGCATATTAAAGCTCCAACAGCTGGCCCACATTTGAGAAGCTTTTCTCTAACTCTGAGCAAGACCTCGCGGATGGTCAGGATACAAATACTTCCAGTCCAGCAGAAGGCAGCTGTGAGTTCTCCCAGGTACCTATTAGAAAAGCAAAAACAGGACTTCTCTGGTGGCGCAGTCGTTAAGAATCCATCTGCCAATGCAAGGGACATGGATTTGAACCTTGGTCTGGGAAGATCCCACATGCCATGGAGCAACTAAGCCCGTGTGCCACAACTACTGAGCCTGCGCTCTAGAGCCTGCGAGCCACAACGACTGAAGCCCACGTGCCTAGAGCCTGTGCTCCGCAACAAGAGAATCCACCGCAATGAGAAGCCCGCGCACCGCAACGAAGAGTAGCCCCCACTCGCTGCAACTAGAGATAGCCCGTGCACAGCAACGAAGACCCAATGCAACCAAAACTAAAAATAAATTAATTAAAAAAAAAAAGCAAAAACAAAAGCCCCGAGAGGATGATGTCTAACCTCAGACAAAGCATCCCCTTGGCACTGATGATTTTGGAGTGTGTTTTTGTTTGTTTTTTGAATTTTATTTATTTTATACAGCAGGTTCTTATTAATTATCCATTTTATACATATTAGTGTATAAATGTCAATCCCAATCTCCCAATTCATCACACCACCGCCCTGCCACTTTCCCCTCTTGGTGTCCATACGTTTGTTCTCTACATACGTGTCTCTATGGGGTATGTTTAAAAGAAGTGGAGTGCTAATGGTCTGATTCTCTCCACCTTCTTGCTACGTGTTCTTTCAGGATGCTGCGGGTGGGAAAAGTTGATCTTAGTGGTCTAGCTGAGGCTGCCTCCTCTGTAAACCACACAGTGTTCTGTCTACAGAGGAAATCAGCATTTTGTGTGCCTGTACTCATTCCTGCTTAGGGTTCTAATGATGAGAAATTTCTGAGACCCAAAAGGAGCCTGTTTTGATCATTTGCATGAGCTTACCCAGAATGCATGCTTGTAGTGACCATCTGGGGTTTTTTTCTGCTCTTCAGCATCCCTTTCTCCTTCTTTTGTGAATAGTACCCTGATTCCCCTCCCCATTACGTGGGAAACAGTTCCCCTCCCCCATTACAGGGTCCCCATACCTGCGAGCTCCAGGGGTGGGGACGTGACTGAGGCCTGCTGGTAACTGAGGCCGTGAGCGTGGATGAGATTGTCTAAGGAGAAGATGCAAAGTCAGAGGAGGAGAGAACCCCATCATTTAGGGGTTGCGTAGAAGAGGATGAGTCTGCAAGGAATGGAGAAGGAGCAGTCAGAGAGGTAGGACTGAGACCAGGAGAGTCATGCAACATCATGGAAGCCTGTGAACCAAAGTGCTTTAAGGAGGAAGAAGTGACCAATAGTGTCAAGTACTCCTGGGGAGTCAAAGGAGCTGAGGATTGAAACATGTCCATGTGCTTTTCGACATGGAGGTAGGGGTGACCTGAGGGTCATTTCTGTGGAGGAGAGATGGAACAGAGGGGAAGTAGAAGTGGAGAGAGGAAATACTGACAATTCTGTAGCTGAGAAAGACAGGAGATAGGGTGGTGGGCTAGAGGGATCCATGTAGGCTTTTTCCTTCTTTCTCTTTCTTCCTTTTTTTTTTTTTTTTAACATATGAGACACTTATGCATGTTTAAAACCACAGTAATCATCTAGTTGAGAGGGAGTAATTCAACAATCTGGGGAGAGATGGGATAATTGAGGTGCTTGAAAAAAACAGAATCCCCGAGCGGGAATATTGTTTACTGCATTTCCCACATTTACCTGATGGACCATCCCTCTTCAGGCAGAGTTTAATTAGTGTTCTGCAGGGAGCACTGTGGCCCAAATTAGGTCAAGGGCCTATCCTCAAACCAAGGCCACACTTTGGCTTCAGTCAATCAGGATCCTGTCCTCAGAAGCTGGGGGTGGGCTCAACTCCGCGCAAACTAAACATCTGAGAATGAGGAAGGGTTAAGTTGTAGAAAAGACCACTAACCCGGCTGAAGATGGGGAAGATGGAATTACCAGGCGACGTATCTTCCCTCCCGGTACTCCTCCTAATGCAGATCCTTACATTGAATCCCACTAAAACTTTAGTATATGGAGGTAGAATGTTCAAGGGATATGGTCAATAAAATTAAAAAATGAAAAAAAGTAAATCAACTATACTTCAATAAAATTTTAAAAAACAGATATGGTTTAAACCCCTTGTCTGTAGAAGTCAGTGTAGTGAGGGGTCAAAAGTTGGCGAATTCTAGGGTTCTTTGCTATCTCCAGAGACACAGTGAAACATCTAAAACCACTGTTAGTAATCTGAGAAGATCCCCACCTCAGCGAGCACGTTCTGGCCTGTTAACATCAGAGGCGATTTAGGAGCTAAACAAGCCCCAGCCCCCTGGAATGACCGTGCATTTATTAAGCCAACATTTCCAGCTGTGGAGACTTAATTGAAGGAGGAAAGATAGAAACCATGTTGGGCAAATGTCTGGGTAATGCCCACTTTACGTGTCTTATATTAGCTGATGAGCATCACAAAAGATTCAGCATATGGTGGAAGGTTGATTGGAGCCTCCGAGGTCCTCAAGATTGCTTCTTCCTTCCTCGGGTGATGGTACTATTTGGTGCGGGACTTCTTCCCGCCCTGCCTCAATTCAGCAAACGCTCATGGGCACCTACTATGTGCAAGTTGCCATGCTGTGTGCTGCTATGTACTGTAGTAACATCGTCTTTTGCTGTTTACAAAGCACTTTCCTACATATGATCTCCATTTAGTGATTCTGAGAATTGAGTTTGAGTCAGAAAGACCAAAGTGAGGATGGGTTCATCCACTTATTTTTTTTTAAAGGTTTTTATTTTTATTTTTTTGGCTGAGCCATGAAGCTTGCAGGATCTTAGTTCCCTGACCAGGGATTGAACCCACGCCCTCGGCAGTGAAAGCACCGAGTCCTAACCACTGGACCGCCAGGGAATTCCCTGTCCACTTATTATCTGTGTGAACTTAGGCAAGTCATTTATCTAAGCTTCAACTTCCTCTTCTACAGAATGGTAATAATAGAATTCCTAGTGCAAAGGACTGTTGGGAAGACTCTGTGAGATAATACAAGAAAAGAGCTTAGCACAGAGTAAGCACTCAATTAAACGTTGCCATTACTTTATTATTCATTCTTGGTCCACTTATTCACACAATAATCCTATGATGCAGATGCTATTATCTTATTTCACAGACCTTCACTGAACACCTATTATGTTCCAGGAGCTGAAGACCCACAGTGACTAAAACAGCATTTAAATACAGAAAAGAAGGGACCCCAGAACTGAGTCCTCAGCAAAGGAAGCAGAGGCATCGAAGGGGACTCAGAGGAACCCTGAGTGCCAAGAGAGGTGTAACAAGGAGGAGAGCGGCCAACTGCAATAATGTCAAGAGGTCAGGGACTTACCTGGTGGTCAAGTGGCTAAGACTCCGTGCTCCCAGTGCAGGGGGCCCGGGTTCGATACCTGGTCGTCTAAGATCCTGCATGCACAATTAAAGATCCCGCATGCGGCAATGAAGATCCCACGTGCCACAAATAAGACCTGGCACAGCCAAATAAATATTAAAAAAATAATAATAGCAAGAGGTCAGCAGTAAGACAAGGCCCCAAAGTGACCACTGGCTTCTGCAACATGAAGTTTCCAAATCAACAAGTGGAGGCAGAAACTCGAGCCAGACTGATTTAAGGAGAAACTGGAGTTGATGTGGAAACAGCCACTGCAGAGAACTCACGAGGTTTTGATGCTAAGGGAAGCAAATAAATGGGGAAGGTGCCTGGAGGGAGATGTGGGATCAAAGAGCTTTTTGTTGTTAAAAACATTTTTTTAGAATATTGGGGCTTTTTTTCTTTTTTTTTTTTTTTTGTGGTATGCGGGCCTCTCACTGTTGTGGCCTCTCCCGTTGTGGAGCACAGGCTCTGGACACGCAGCCTCAGCGGCCATGGCTCACGGGCCCAGCGGCTCTGCGGCATGTGGGATCTTCCCGGACCGGGGCACGAACCCGCGTCCTCTGCATCGGCAGGCGGACTCTCAACCACTGCGCCACCAGGGAAGCCCTGGGGCATTTTTTAAAGCAGGTGGGAATGATCCAGGATAGGGGGAGAAATGAGTGACTAAGGAAGGGAATCCAAAGTAAGGAACTAGAAGTATATTCAATAGCCTGTGATGAACCATAATGGAAAAGAATGTATATGTATGTACAATGAAGTCACTTTGCTGTACAGCAGAAATTAACACAACATTGAAAACCACCTATACGTAAATAAAATAAAATTTTAAAAAAGCACAGGGAACTATATTCAGTATCTTATAATAACCTATAATGGAAAAGGATTGAAAAAAGGCATATATATACGTATAAGTGAATCACTTTGCTGTACATCTGAAACTAACACAATATTGTAAACCAACGATACTTCAATTCAAAAAAAGCAAGCAGGGAAGGCAGAAAACCTGGGCAAGATGCAGATATTTGGTAGAGGAGAGGGTTCCTGTCTGACTCTATCATGTCTGTGAAGTATGAGGCAAGCTCATCTGCTTAGAGTGAAGGATGAGAAGGGGACAAAGGAAGAAGACTGAAAAATCATCCTTGTAGGGTGTGGGGAATTGAATACAGCAGGAAAATACAGTAGGAAGGCTAGGCAGGACTGGGGATTCAGCTGAAATTCATGGACATCAACTTAAAGTGACATCTGCCAGTTTTAATTTTCCAGCAATATTCAGATATTCTGATACAGGTAAAGAGTAGGGGAAGAGCTGGGTTTAACTAGAGCTGGGCAAGCTAGAAGGAGAGAGAGGGGCAAAGGGGTTATGGGGTTTTGCAAGGAAGTGAGTATATTGATTATGACTGAGTGGGTGAGGAGGGAAGTGAGTACCAGTGGGAAAATAAATGCAAAAATCTGGCAGACTCAAAAGGTTTGCAGGTCTGGATGAGGTTGAAGAAATGCTTGTGTGTGATACTGCAGTAAAGATGTTAAAGTCAGATTTGAGATTTTGTGATTGTGTTTTCTGAGATAGTGCAATTCCTGGTGAGAATGAGTCTGCTTTAAGACCATGGGAGTGGGTATTTGGGGGCGGGGGAACTCAATGGTGGGGAAGAAATCGGTGAGACGTCAATAAGATTTCTCATGAAAGGGAACCCTCCTACACTGTTGGTGGTAATGTAAATTGGTGCAGCCATTATGGAAAAAAGTATGGAGGTGCCTTCAAAAACTAAAACTAGAATTACCACATGATCCAGCCATCCCGCTCCTGGGCATATATCCAAAGAAAACTGTGATTTGAAAAGATACATGCACCCCAATGTTCATAGCAGCACTATTCACAAAAGCCAAGACATGGAAGCAACATAAATGTCCATCGACACATGAATGGATAAAGAAGATCTGGTACACACACACAGGAGTATTATTCAGCCATCAAAAAGAACAAGGGACTTCCCAGGCAGTCCAGTGGTTAAGACTCTGCACTTCCACTGCAGGGGGCTCGGGTTCGATCCCTGGTCGGGGAACTAAGATCTCACATGCTATGTGGCGCGGCCAAAAAAAGAGAACAAAATAATGTCATTTGCAGCAGCATGGATGGACCTAGAGATTATCCTACTAAGTGAAGTAAGTCAGACAGAGGAAGACAAATGCCATATGATGTCACTTGTATGTGGAATCTAAAATATGATACAAATGAACTTATTTACAATAGAAATAGACTCACAGAGAAAACAAACTCATGGTTACCAAAAGGGAAAGGGGTGCAGAGATAAACTAGGAGTTTGGGGTTAGCAGATAAAAACTACTATATATAAAATAAACAAAAAGGTCCTACTGTATAGCACAGGGAACTACATTCAATATCTTGTAATAAACTCTAATGAAAAAGAATACCTATGTGTATAACTAAATCACTTTGATGTGTATAACTAAATCACTTTGCTGTATACCAGAAACTAACACAACATTGTAAATCACCTATACTTCAATTAAAAATAAAGAAAAAAATAAGATATCTCATGGATTATGCTTACGGATGCTCAAGTCATAAAGTAAGGTGCAGGAGGTGAGGTGGAGGTCAGTTCATGAGAAAAAGGAGGGGTGGCAGGTTGAAAAATATGATAGTATGAACTTCAAGGAGATTAGGTTTTGAAAAGAGGAAAGAAGAAACAGTACTAAAAATATTAATGGCGTTTGCCTCCTACCCACAGGCTCTCAAAGGCAGCTGTGTTTAATGCCACATGCCCCCATGTTCACAGCAACAGTTGACTGGTCAAGGGGTGGGATCTGACCTGTGGGCAGCCAAGCTGTGGGCTGGCCAGTGACCTGTCCAATGAGATGTCATCATTAAAGATGAGATAACTGGATTCTGTCTTGGGACTTGAACTATGAAACGCAAAAGAATCTGCCAGTTAATAGAATGAGCTGCTGCAGAGAATAAAGGAGGGACAAAGGTCACCAGGATGAATCCCATGCAGGCTGAAATGTTGAGGGAATAGGGCTATAAGCAAGCTGAGGATGCCAGACAGTCAAGAATGCAGCAGATGCATCAAAAGCAGCAGAAATGGGGATGTGTGAGAGAGATGGAGTAACCTGTCTCTGAGTTCTGGGTTGGCTCCTGAGCCCGCTTATTATGTGGGAACTTAATTTTTAAAGGTTTTTGAGGAGGGGAGCAACATAATCAGACCTGGGGTTATGAGTGTGGGCTCTGGTCCCAGACTGCCTGGCTTTGAAAAAAATTAGCTGTGTGATCTCAGGCAGGTTACTTAACCTCTCTGTGCCTCAGTTTCCTCATCTGTAAAATAGAAATAACAGCACTGCCCTCATAGGGGTGTAAGGAGGATTAAATGAGAAAATACAGGTAATGCATTTTGAATAGCAAGGCTTCCTTTCAATCTTATTTTCTTCAATTAAACAGTTCAAATGTCACTTCTTTCACAAAACTTTCCTTCATGCTTTTATCTCTTAGCTTCCAGGAGGGACACCACCTTCTCGTGGTCTTCCTCCCTCCTCCTAGGTCACTATTCCTTCTCAGGCTCCTTGCTGGTTCCTCTTTCTCTTCTTGACCTCTTCTCTCTACGTTGATCTCCCAAGTGAGCTCACCTAGGTGTCTCGTGCTTTTAAGTACCTCAAAATATCATTTATTAGCTGACAGTTCTCATAAATTATCACCAACTCCAAACTTTCATATCTGATTACTTGACATCTCTATTTAAAAATCTCCAAAAGACATCTCAAACATAACTTGCCCCAAACTGACTGTTACCAGCTCCTGCCCCTACAATCTTCCACAGATCGATAAATGGCAAGTCCTTCCAGTGCTGATGACGCTAAAATTCTTAGCATCATCCGACTCCTTTCTTCTTCTCATGCCCACTAAGCATCTGCGTCTCTCTGCTGTGTGACCTTGGTTTTACCTCCCTGGGCCTCTGAGGATTAAACGAGTTATTATTTGTAAAGTGCATAACAACATCCATCACATAGAAAGCCTCATATAAGTGCTTTTGAAATAAATAAAAAATGCCTTCAATACAGAAAGAGCTTCCTAACGGCCCTAGTCCCCCTACAGTCCATTCAGAACACAGCAATCTCCTGATCCTTTGAAAGGCCAGGCCAGATCCTGTCACTGCTCTGCACCTCTTTGACCTCAGCTCCTGGGGCTCTCCCCTTGCTCAGTCTGGGCCAGTGCCTCCTTGTGCCACCAACACACCAGGGACTGTCCCCATCGGATCTTTGCCCCTGTTGTTCCTTGTGCCTCCCTCTGATCAAATGTTAGTTCTCTGCTGGCCCCACTTTGCTAATCTGCCTGCCCGTTCCCTCACTCTGATTTTTCCTCCCCATCTCTATTTTTACTTAGTAGCTGGTTGTCTCCCCTCCCCGGGTTCAAACTCTGCAACAACACGGATGGTCTTGTTCATTGCTCTATCCCTAGAGCCTAGAACAGTGCTTGGTACACAGTAGATGCTCAATAAATACTTACCAAGTGAAAATTCCAAAGTGCCACGCCCTTTTCTGAATTCCCGTAATACAGGTCTGAATCATTCTTGTGGTACTTACCTGTATCGTTTTTTATGCAGTTTACAATTTTATACAGTTTACAATCTTTATACAGTTTTTCAAATAGTTTACAATCTTTATACAGTTTACAATCCCCTCACGGGTGACCCGATTTGAATCTCACAAAAGAGAGAGAGAGAGCAAACTAGGGAAGGCAGTTATTATTAGCAGGGCCTCCTGCCTTCTAGACCAAGCTTAACAAATATTTGTTGAATGAAGAGAAAAAAAAATTTCTGAGTCACTCTGTGGAATGAGGCAGCCCCACTCGGCAAATGGGAGGGTTCTCTGTAGGACATGTAAAAATACTCTTAATATCTAACATTTATTGCGCCGGTTTTTCTCATTTCTACCTGTGTGGTCCTCACAGCATTCCCGTAGCAGGTAGCTGTGAGAGCATCTTTATGTCCTGTCCTGTTCACCTCTGTTATCTTTGGTGCCTCAAACAAGGCCTGGTATGTGGTAGGTGCTCAGTGAGTGATGTGGGCCGAGGCTCCTTTTTTGGAGCTCGGGCCCAGGTGCAGCGACTTGCTCCAGGTCCCACGCGGAGCAAGTGGCAGCGCTGGGATTCCATCTCAGGTTCGCTCACTACTCTCTCTCTCCGGGATGGGCCTGCCCCGCGGGCCGCACCAGTTCCGGGTGCGCCGCAGGAGCGAGCGCGTGCACCGGGTGGGGCGGGGAGGGACTGACCCCTCCCAGCCCCAGCGCCTTCCGCATCCCCGCCCGGAGGCCGACGGGCACCGTCCCTGTGCCGCCCCGCGCTGCTGCACCCACAGGGCCGGGCGTTGGGTCTAGCAGCGGGTAGAAGGTACTCCCCCGGCCCGGACTCCTGCCCCCACCACTCAACCCAACCCCGCGCCCCGAGCCCTGTGCCGGCCCACCCATCCTGCGGCCGCCCACCCATCCTGCGGCCACCGCGCCCCGCCCCGCTCCACCCGCAGTCCCCGCCCCTCACTTCCCCGTTTCGGCGCTCCTCCCCCCGTGCCGCGCTCCATACTTGGCGATCGCTGCGGCCCTGCGTGCTCATTGGCCGAGAGCCGGCTGCGTGGGGGGCGGGCCCGGGCCGGGCCGGGGCGGGGAAGGAAGGTGGCGGCGGCCCGGCGCGGGAGGAGGGAGGTGCTGACCCGGATGTTCACTCCTGGGCACCCGGGGAAGTGGAAGCGCCGGGCCCTGCTGCGGGGGGGAGAGCCACAGACGCCGGGACCGGGACCGCCGCCGCCGCCGCCACAATGGTAAAGGCCCGACGTCCCCCTCCCCCAGGTCCGGGGGCCCCGCCGGAGCTCGCGTCCGCCTTCCCCCACCCACCCCCGGCCCGCGAAGGGTGGGTTCCCCCGGGTGGGGGAGGGGCGGGGTCCCGGAGCCCAGGTAGACACCATCCCTGCCCGCTCAGGAGGGGGCGGCCGGCCTGGGCGGCTTGGGTGGGCAGCGACCCTGCCTCCCGTTCCCAACCCCCGCCCTTGGCTCAAGCTGGGCTCCCACACTCCCCTTCTGGGGCGAGACTAGTCTCCCGCGTAGCCCAGGCTAGACCCTCCTGGACTGGTGGTCCAGGCCAGGCACCCCCTCCGGGGACCCAGGCGTAGTCCCCCTTTCTCCTCCCCATGGCCCGGGCTAGGTCCCCAGCCCCAGCCCCTACGGCCCAGGCTAGGCCGTCGTTTCTTCCTCCCAGGGTCCAGGCTAGGCCTCTGTCCCCCACCTACCCCCTTCTCCATGGCCTCAGTCCGGACCCCCGTTAGCCCCTTATCCATGGCTTCAACCTGCATTTGTTCCCCTGTTCTCCATGGCTTCAGCCTGAATCTTTTCTTCTCTTCATGGTCTTAAGTCTGGACCCCCTCCCCCTCCTCCGCCCCTGGCCCCCGCCTGGACGTCACTCCCTTCCCCCCACTCCCTGGTCCGTTTCCCAGGACTTCTCACCACTCTCGGCGTAGCCTGCGTCAGCCTCACTCTGTCCGGGGCTTTACCCTTCCTCCAGGGCCCGGCTCCCTGCCCTGCCCCTGACCCAGGTGGTCCCCTCCGCTCTACCTAGGGCGAACCTTCTTTGCCGCCCCTGGGAAGTGAGAGTAGCTCTCCAGCCCGGGTGGGGATGGGGGTCCCGAGGCTGTGCGTTCTCAAGTTGGAGCGGTGCCCCTTCTGGAAGGCCGTCTGGGAGCGAGCGAGGGCAGGGCGGGCATCTGTATGCCGGGAAGGCAGCGCGGCGCTCTGCGGGCGCTTCCCGCGGCCGCCGCCTGGGTGCCGCGGGGTGCGGTGCTGGCGGAGCGTCCTGCTGGGACCCGCGGCGCCGGGGCGTGTGCGAGAGCCGAGGGATGAGGATGGGGGAGCCGCGGGACGGGGATGAACGCACAATCGCCCTTGTGAGGCCGCTGCCGTTGGGAGGCCCCCGGGCCCCGAGGCCAACAGACGGCCCGGACACAATGTACCCCAGCAGGCGCAGCCTCCCTTTCCCCCTCAGCTGTCAGCTCGTGAGGGTTGGAACTGCTGATAATGGAGGTGCCTCGGATCAGGTGAGCCAGACTCCGAGGGAGAGCTCGCTCCACTCGTGCTGTTTGTTTTGGTAATGAAGGCAGGTACTCTGGCGGCGCTCTGACCGGCCCGAGGTTTCACCTAGGCCCCGACCAGTGAGTCCGCCCTCCCTCCACTTTGGAACCTTCTGCAGGGCAGGCCCAGCACCCAGGTTGGAAGAGCCCCAGGGCTTCTGCCTCACGTGGCCAAGGCATCTTTGAAGGGTGGACTGAGATTAAGGGTGGCCACCTGCTCCTCTGGCCCGGTGCTGGCAGGTGTTTGCATGTGGACTTTGGGCCCCAAAGAGTTTTGGGGCTCTAGGTTCCTTGTTTAAGGAAGGGATGTTGCTTCTGAACTAGGCTGACTAATTCAGAGTGGCTGAGTTTTTTCTTCATGCCTTCCTGTATGTTGATGAAAAGCGTGGCCATTGTTATTGGACTTCTCCGATAGCAGTCCCAGGCCTGGGTGGGGAAGGACTTCTCCAGGACAGTTTTGGGTGAGGACTTGGAGTGAGGTTTGCTGTCAGGACAAAAACAGGGGAGGATGGTTGGGATGGCCAGGTGGGGCTGCTCAAGGCAGCATCTCTGGCAGTGGGGGGGGGGGGGGGAGCATCTTGCCTTGGCCCTCAGTGCCTGAGTCTCCAGACCTGATGGGAAGATGCCTGTAATGACCCAGAAGGAACAGGATGATACATGAGGCTTCTCAGGAGTCCTGTATTTGGGTCTTACCTGGATAATCTGTAAGGACTGTGGAAGGGGTGGAGGAAAAAGGCTAACTTTTCTGTGGGGAGTGGGAGCGGGGCGGGGGGCTACTAGGTGCCAGACACTGTGCTCTGTGCTCCACTTACTTAATCCACACAGAACCCTTTGAGGGATGCTGTGTATTACCATTTTACAGGTGAAGAAGCTGAGGCTCAGGGCATGGAGGAACTTCCTCAAGATGTTGCTTAGTTGACGGGAGCACATCTGATAGGCTCTAAACTGCATCCTTTCCGTTGTCCCAGGCTGCTTATGTGTTCCTGGTGATGCAGGCTTATTTAACGTGAGCTCTTTGAGGGCAGCGGTTTTTGTCTTTTGTTTTGCATGTCTGTATCCCTGGGGCCTAGAACAGTACCTGGCACTGAAGGAAATAGCTTGGGGTGTGTCTTGAACTTAGCCACTTGGATTTCATACTCATTCTCTCAGTAACTCGTTCTTAGTATCCCCTAGGCTTGTAGGTAATTTCTGACTGCTTATTGTTCAGTTTATCCCCTACTTGAATATTCTGTCTAAGAAACCAGTGTAGACAGTTGGAGTAGGACAGAAGTGGTGGTGTGGGGTTGCATAATAGGTAAATGTATTAAAACCACTGTGGTTTTATTTTCAGTAGGGTTGATGGTAGAGAAACCAGCTAGATCTCAGTTATCCATCGAGGGAAACAGCAGTTTGAGAGTCTAAAGTGCGCTGGACTTTGGAGAAAACTCCGTGATTTCTGTTGGCATCAGTTACGAATGCATAAGCAAATGGAATTTACTTGCATTCTCTTAGCAGGTAATGATCTCCCACTATCTGTAAGTGCTTTATAGTTTCAAAGCACTTTTCCTTACCCAGCTCTAGCTTCTAATTTAGGAATTATTGTCCTAATTTAGAGTTATGATTCTGATGCTGGATGGTGGGGCTGTAGCATGCAGGGATGGGCCAGGCCCCCCTCATGAGTTGTCCCTCCAGCTCCCAGATGGTTTGGCCTGACAAGAGATGATAGGAGAAGCCTGTTATATTGTTACAAGGTGGAACAATACAGTTGGTGTCTTGGCTGGTCTGGTGTAGACCTCCTGGTGTAGGTCTAGACCTCCTGGTGTAGGTCTAGCTCCACTCAGACCCCACATGTATATGCAGCCTTGTTTATTTAAACCCAACTGGCTGCTCTTTGGTGGAATGCTTGAAAAAAGTAGCCAACGATCCATAGCTTGAGATTAAAGAGATGCTAAATCATGTTTGTTTTAATAAATTTATTTATTTTAGTTTTGGCTGCTTTGCGTCTTTTGATGCTGTGCACTGGCTTTTTCTCTAGTTGCAGCAAGCAGGGGCTACTCTTTGTTGGGGTGCACGAGCTTCTCATTGCGGTGGCTTCTCTTGTTGCGGAGCACGGGCTCTAGGCGCAGGGACTTCAGTAGTTGTGGCACGCGGGCTCAGTAGTTGTGGCTTGCGGGCTCTAGAGCGCAGGCTCCGTAGTTGTGGCGCACAGGCTTAGTTGCGGCGTGCGCGGCGTGTGGGATCTTCCCGGACCAGGGCTCGAACCCGTGTCCCCTGCATTGGCAGGAGGATTCTTAACCACTGGGCCACCAGGGAAGCCCTAAATCGTATGTTTGAAAGCAGATATTCCTATTTATAACTCAGAAGTCCTGTTCTTCTTTTACATTCCTTGGGGGAGGGGAGAGGACAGATGACTGACAGCACAGGGAAATGGTGGCTGCGCAGGTACTTTGAACCTTGAGACTCCTGCTTCCCAGGCTGCGAAACTCTTGGCATTAGGCAAAGACAGTGGTGTGTTAGGAGTTGCTTGAAGCTCATGGGTGTATTTATGAAGTGCCTTCTCTGTGCTGCCCTATGTGCTCAGGACAAGGAAGCCTGGTAAAAAAGGCAAACAGGTCCACGCCTTCACAGCTTATGTTGTTCGGCAGGGAGGCGTGTCACTCTTACCTACAGGTTAAGGAAGCAGAGCCTTGTTTAATGTAACTGCAAGCACACTTGGATGAGATAACGCAGGAGACTTCAGAGAAAGTTGGGGCTTGTGCCCGGCTTCAGCCCCGGCCTTGAGGAGCACGCCTGCCCTTGTTTGGCCGCCACCACTGAGGTGAATGGCACTGCATACGCGGTCTGTCCCCTGCAGACCAGAAGCTCTCCCAGCCGGGAAGGTTTGTGCCACAGAAGTCCTGCCCTTCTCACCTGGGTAGCTACCATTGATTGAGGATCTACCGTCATCCAGAAACCTGAGGTAGGACTTAGGTCCTACCCCACCCCATGATGGATGCTCGAAAGCTTGAGTGGCTGGTGTGAGGGGCGGGCCTGGGACTTGGCTCTGGGTCCCCCCGACTCCTGTCCCGGAGGCTCACTCTGTTTCTCAGAAACAGTGAGAAGTAGGGCTCACAGTACAGGCTCTTGTCCCATTTCTCCTGGAGGCAGATCCCACCAGTGAGAGTGGGGTGTGGAAGTCCAAAGGGTACAAGATCACCCACGTTAAGACCAGCGAGAGTATTGCCATTTCCAAACTAAGGCTTTTAGAGATCAACGCTCTGGTGTGAGGACGTGGAGCCTTGCCTGCTGCCACGAGCCCCGGCATCGCGTGCGAAGTTAGGACTTAGGAGCCAGACAGCCTTGGGCTAATAACAGTACCTCCTCATAAGGCTGTTAGGAGGATTAAATGAGATAATACTTGTCAAGTGCTTTGAACAGCATCTGGCACATAATCATATGTGTAGTGACTATTATTATCACCATTTACAGATGAGGTTCAAAGGGTAAGTGGATAGTCCCTTTATAGCTACTAAGTGGAGGAACTGGGTTTTCTGACTTCAGAGGTAGACCCGTTTTCTCCACTGCTTACTGCCTGCTGAAGGGATATTTGGAGTTTGCTTGGCTTTGGGCTGTGTCTTGAATGAAGAAAGTCCCTGATAGAGCCAGAGGCTCTACTCCACCACAGAAGACAAGGCTCCCTGTGCTGCTGTAGCCTGATGCTGTATCTCAGGCTCTGGGTGCCTCGTCTGTGCCCGGTGGAGCCCCTTTTGAACTGAGTCCTTGCCCTCTTCCGGGCTTGGAAGAAGAGGGACAGAGCCTGTGAGTTCCGTGAGAGCAGGGACCTTGTCTGGTTCCCACCAACCACCCAGCACCTTGCGCGGGCCGCCTGGCGCTTGGTAAGCGCCTCATAGACGCTGAATGAGGGAGTGGTGAGCACTTTTGTCTTCTGCCTGTGCCACAGAACGTGGGCTTTGGGGTTGGGCTGATCTGGCTTGGAGTCCTGTCTCTGCGACTCAGTGTGTGACCTGCAGTGAGGATCTTACTCTCCCTTGGCCTCGGTTTCTTGATGGGTAACGTGAGGATGGCATTTTATAGGGATACTGGGAGAAAGAAGTGAAAATTGTAATGTGCTTAACCCAGTGCTTGGCGCACAGCAAGTGGTAGCCAGGGTTATTGTTTGTCTTATTTTGCATACTACAGAGTAAGGACACGAAGAGAAGCCGTAATCCCTGTCCTCTAATCCGGAAGGGGAGGCGAGGCGCATCCAGAAAATGAAGTGCAGCAGGGAGGGAGGGGGGAAGGGAAAGCCTTCAGAAGGGCCACTCGTCTGCCCATCCCTGCAGGCTCGCCCGCAGGCAGCCTTGGTGGGGGCTGGGTGTGAACCCGGGGAGACCTTGCCCAGGCGGAGAGGATGGGGTGGGTGCAGGGGCCTGGAACAAGAGCAGAGGTTGGGGTGATGGTCGGCCTTGTGAGTTTGGGGCCCATCCGCAGAGTGGACGGCCAGTGGGGGCGCCTCGGTCTCAGGAGGGAGTTGTGGAGTGCCTGAGTTGCTAAGCTAAAGAGTTTGCGTTTGATCTGGGACAGTGTGGAGCCAGTTAGATATTTGACAGGGCAGGTAGAAATCTGAGGAGGCTGGCAGAGTCGTGGTATTTTAGGAAGAGTCATCTGGCGGTGGTGTGCAGCCGGGAGGGCCCTGGAGGGAGACATTCACAGGCGTTAAGCCTGCGAGGTTCTAAGGGTCCTGGCCGCCCTGGGGATGGATAGGAAGGGGTGGGTGAGAAAGATAAAGATAGGAAGGCAGAGCCAGCCGTGGTGATTTACCGCCTCTGGGCTGAGGGGGAAGCTTCTGCCCCCAGAGCTGCCCTGTTCAGGCATTTGGAGAGGATGCTTTATCATTGACCCAGCAACTATTTTTGGGCAGTTTAAATCCCAGATAGTGGTGCCTGCAAAGCCTTGATATGCTACTAATGCCTGAAGGGGGATTTCAGTCTGGTTAGCCCAGTGTCCCA